ATTAGGGTTTTGGTTCGATTTCAGAATCTGTTTTACAAAGAGAACAAAAAGTGTAAAAGGGAAAAAGGAAAGAAGAAACGGTTAAAGCTAAACAATAATCTCTATCTCCGCCGTATCTATTACCGGCGGTCCGAATATTCCGGCGGATTTTACCGGCACGATCACCCCCAAATTTTCCCGCTTTAAGAAAAAAACAATTATTATATCTTTTGTAGAGAAATAAAATTTTAAAAATTCTATTTATAGAAAGCCAGCAAAATCGTAGGCATTAAAAAAAAAACTCCAACGGCTATAAAAATACATGTTTGCATCTAACGGTGCCAGGGGGATCGTACGTATATGTGGAAAAGTATAGTGAAATTGGAGAATTTTATCTAATTCTTTTTTTGGTCAATAGAGAAATTTTATCTATAAATTATTGTTACAGCCTTATAGGCAAATATAAAAAGTTCAACTTTTAAGATCAGAATTATCGCATATCATAACAAACTTTTGAAGTTAAAAAAAAGTGATGTATAATTAGATTACAAAAATATCTACTTAGATTTTTTTTTTTTAATCTAGTTTGAGTTATTAATCATTGAGATTTTTTTTGGTAGATTTTATAGTAGAATTTGGGAAACAACTTATGGCAGATTTAAAGTTAGAAAAAGACAATGAAGTAAAAAGTAAAGATTAACTAGGTAAATAGCCAAATTTTGACTTATATTGGCAAATAAAAACATTAAAGAATTCGTATTTAAATTTATTTTTGGGTGATTTTATAAATAATAAAAATAATATTAGGTAAATATATTTGATCAGATGATTCTTTTCAAATAAATATTTAAAAAAAAAATTATTTATTTTATCAGATAGATCAATGTTAAATTTGATTACTTTAAAGAACACTATTCAGGATTTGGGTTTAGTCTCTCACTATGAGTTTGATTTCCAAGTAAAAAGGCCCATTATGAGCCCATTAAATATAGGAGCTCCACTATAAGTTAATCCCATTTCAGCCCATGATTATGTCAGGTAGTGTACTAGTATTACATCGAAAGATATCATGAAGTTCCATTACTATATGTTTTTTCTTTTTTTCCTTAAAAGTTCCATTATTTAATTAACTTTCAATTCAACTACTATTGTTGAATTCTAATAATACTTCATTAATATCTTTTATATGAGTTCGAAAGTCATCATAACTCATAGATTTGGCTTTTGACATTTGATTTTACACTGGTAAGTTCAAGCATGCTTTCGAGAAGATTTAAAACTTTTCTTTATTTTATCTCCCACTGACTTATTCAATTTTCTAACATTTTTTCAGTTATGCATAACTTTTTTTTCCAAAGCCAAAAACGAAAACATATTACATAAATATTTTAGCTTCTTTCCTATCGCTACACAAACCATAAACTTAAACGATCGATTAGTTTTAAAAACAAAAAAAAAATTAAAAATACCACTTTTAAAGTGTCATTTTTCAAAATTGCTATTTTTAAAAAATATTTGCAAAAATTCTATTTTTTCAAAGTTATTTACTCAATATATCATTAATGTTTGAGTTAATTATATTGTATTAGAGTTTAGTTTTGAAGGTTTAGAGTTTGTTTGGGGTCAAAGTCTTTTTTAGTATTTAAAAATTTAAGATTTTGTTATGAATGAGAGAAGAAGAGAATGGAGAGAATTGTGTGTCTTATTCCAATAGAGAGCAAAGGTATATATA